ATGAAGATGGTTGTTAAAAAGAAATCCACGTTAGCTCAGAATTGAGTATAATAAAGGGTTATTTATTTAGGGGTAGACTCACAGATCACAGACTTCTGCACACATGGGGAAACAGGAACTGAGTCCATCAGCAGGAAGAGAGAGAAAACACATACCTTACATTGGCATTTTTGGTATAAGAGGCCATACCCAAGTGTACTTGTCACTTAAAGGCTACATGCTAAAAAAGTTCCTACAACATCCATGTTGTACAGAGATGCTGGGAAGATTTAATACTTTTTTTCACTGCGGTCATGAGAAAAAGACAAAACATTAAGACAAAAACCCATTTTTCTTCTTCTCCAGTCCAAGAGCCAAAAATCTGGGTATTAGTTATCCACTTCTTCAGTGAAATAGAGTGAAACCTTGAATTTTCACTAAATATTTGCTGATACCCAAATTTCTCTTTACAACTTTAAATTCAGTGTTTCTCTCAAATGGTGTATCTCTTTATTATCTTTTTCCATACTGTTTATTAATTTATAACTTCTCTCTCATACAGGACAAGCAACACCACTTAACTATTTTTCCCAGCCTCCACTTTTTTTTTCTTTAAACTTTAGCTTTTGTGACAGGATCTAGATCTTGATGTGTTGACCAGGAAGCTTTGAACTCACTATGTGGAATAGACAAGCCTTGAGCTCTTAAATCACATTTTTTTTCTGAATCTTCAAATCACTCTGCTTACAAGTCCGTATCATCATGCCCAAGCTTTCATGAGCATTTTTCATCTTTTTCTCTTAATTTTTCCTTAATTAGAAAATTCTATATTTTTCATCTAATAAACTTTTGTAGTGTTGGACATAATTTATTCTAACTACTCAAATGCTGTTTATTTTTCCAGCTTTCACAGATAGCAGACATACACTGTTGGATTATATCCATCTCAGACTTTGATAGAAAATTCATTATCCTTTTAAACTGAAATATTGGCTTACCTAAGCTAAAGAATGCTTAAGGGAATTAAAAAGGCTAAAGGAATTTGAACCTGTGAAAACAAAGCAAGGCTTTGATTATTGTTAATTAATTATTTACTTTTTATTTAAATTGGGAAACTGCATGTTACCTTCTGTTTGTACCTTATTGACAGCAGCTATCTTTGCTATTCATAACATGATCTAGGAAAACATCAATAATGCCTTTACTCATTTATCTCAGAAGAAAGCTTTCTTCTTGTCCTGACCTGGCTATGATTCCAGGTGCACAGCAGCAGTAGGCCAGATGTTAAACATTTTGGGAAAGAATGCTTGGAAACCTCTGCATTTAATAAAGTTGATTTTCTTCCACAAATAAATCAGAAGAGCTCTACTAAAGAATCTGTGTCCATTTCAACATTGTATTAGAGAAAGTGTTAGGTTTTTTAATCTTGTTCTACCTAAAATAATTCAAAGGAAGAAGAACAAAGGTCAGTCCCACTTGGGTACTTAGTAGGTAAACACATGGAGAAAGAATTAAGAATTATATACCTAGTTTTAATGTGAAATTTAGATACTAACAACATGAAGAAGACATAGTTAAATATTACTGTTTTCTTTTATTATGAGAAAGAGGTAAGGGGATTTAAAATATATATCTGTGAGGTGATGTGAGGTACTGGGAAAGTGAAGAGAACAAAGTTTAATTGTTCTGGGTACTAGGATCCATTGAACATAAAAAATACATGCTCCTTCTTCTTCTCCTTCTCCTCTTTCTTCCTCTTTACTTTTTATCTGCCTTTATCTTATTTTTGAGATTAGAATATAATTACATTATTCCCCTGTCATCCGCTCCCTCCACACCTTCCCAAATACTCTTCTTTGTTCTTTTTCAAACTCATTGACCATTTTCATTGATTATTGTTCTATTATATGTATAAATATAAACATATTCTAAATATAACCTGAGCAGTCTGTATGTTATTTTTGCATATTTTCAGAGCTGATCATTTGATAGTAAATTTATTTTCCATCGTTGCACTCTCCCATGGAAAAGACTATTTCTCTACTTACAGAATTTACTGATTACCTATAGTTCTTTGTGTACAGCAGAATGCTTGTGAATTTTCCTGTGTCTAGTTGGAATGTCTGCTGTGTCCTTGTACAGCTCATGTTTAGATAGTAACAGTGGTAATATTGATCTGTATAGTTTATGATATTTCTAGGAGACACAATTTCACATTAAACTTCCTGATTATCTGCCTGCTATTTTTTTGTACCTGTTCCATAATGTTCCTTAAGTCTTAGATATGGGAGTTGGTTTGTAGATATACCTATTGGATTTGAAGATCCATGACTTGATTTTGGTAGGCTGTGGTTTTCTGTAGTGGTTGTTTTGGTTGTAAAGAGAAGTTTCTTTGATGAGATTTGAGAACTATTTTTATCTCTAGGTATAATGTTAGAGATTATGCTGGTTTAGTAAAGTATTAATTTCAGCTCCTCTAATACCCATGAAATTACTAACACTGATTGCTTGGTGGGTTTTAAGTACCAGGTGTGGTCTCCTTCTTGTCAAGAGTGTCTTAGTCCAGTTAGAGAAAATTTGATTACTGCTAAGATAAATTTGCCACTACTGCACCCTTAGAATTATTGGGCTAGGTTTGCCATTGTTGAGGTTCATAAATGTCATAACTGGGTAAGATTATTAGTTGTTTCCATCCTTTGCAAGATTGCATGATGCTGTCTTGCACCATGAAAACTAGTTTTTGGAGAGAAGTTACTCTGGTCTTTTCCAGCTAAGAAAAATAGCAAACAAATAAATTTAAAATACCTAGGTATTAAACTTGAAAAACATAATAGTTGTGACTCCTTTATGATAATATTAGATGTTCATTAATATGATAATATTAATATGATAATATTACATGTTGGATTACAATGGCTAATAAAAAATAAAAAGAGGAAGGGAATCAGAAGAAAGAGTGTGCTAAGAGAGCAATGGGGTTGAATGTGACTCAAGGCCATGATGTGTGATGCCCATGGATGCTGTGAATATATTTTATTAATATTGGTTAACAGAGAAGTTGCTTTGGCCTATGGAAGGATGGAATAGAGCTAGGCAGGAAAACTAAACTGAATACAAGGAGAATGTCATGTAGCTGTTGAAGGAGAAAGATTCCTAGTAGTCCAGAGCCTCATGGCGACACATAGAGTAATAGAAATGGGTTAATTTAAGATGTCAGAGCTAGCTAGAAATATGCCTGAGCTATTGACCAAACAATGTTGTAATTAATATAGTTTCTGTGTGATTATTCAGTTCTGAGTGGCTGGGAAATCAATATGCAGTCTCCATTTTCAAGCCCATGTTAAGAATATACAAGGACATCATAATGAAACTGTTCATACTGTACAGTGATGAAGAATAACATGTAACTACCATGTTTCAATGAATTAGGAGCAGAAAGCAGAATATTACCAGAGTTATATGTAGATTACATATACATATATGTGTATATAAAATACTAACTTCTTTTATACCAACTTTCAGTTAAATATTTTTTTTCAATCTGTCAATTTTCACTTTAAAAATCTCTTCATTAGCTAAATGTGTTCAGATTTTAAATCTCATTGAATTGTAAAGAAAATTCTTTTTTTACAGCAAATAACAATTCCCTATTGTTTAGTTAATTAGTAAGGGTAAGCCTACATTATGTTTATATTGTCAGTCCTGATAGACAAGGCTTCTACTGTCTATAAATATGAAGTGTCCTCATTGCTTGTGACTGGTAGATGTGTTTTTTGTATTTTTACCCCTTACTTGCTTTCATCACTCATGAATCAGTCATGGAAGCCTTCCCTGTATCTGAAGACTGTCAGTCCAGCCATCTGCATAGCTGACACAGGTTTTTGGCTGTGTGTACTGGAAAGACTGCTCTCTCTTTGACAAGAGCAGCTGTCAGAACACAAAAAAAGACCATTTTCACCTGCCTTATTGCATCCTCATAAGCCTGAAAGCAAAGCAGATCTGCAATTTAAACAGTGCAGGGTTTGCTGTGGAGATGTATTGACTGGAGGCCCCCTCTCTCACCAAATCATTCTGATCAGAACTGTGGCCAGGAGAGGAGGAAGGCCTTAGATTTAATAGAATTGTACCTTTGTGATTTCCTTTTATATAGTAGAAATTAGTGAAAATTTAGATGAAGAGATTGGGCCAAAGGATAGTATTGGCTTCTAAGTCCATTTTGACTTCCTTCACATTACCTGAGTGTCTGAATTTGCTACAGTTTTAGGCAATCACTTTACAGTCATTAAACTGAGATTTTATTCTCCACACCTGCTCCTTACAATGTAACTTAGCCTAATAGATTAACTAGCATGCAATTGTTAATTAATCAACCATGAACTAGTAGAAGTTACTGCTTTTTCATGAGAAGAGAAAGATAAAAATGCTTATGAACAATGAAAAGAAATATGATTTGAACATAGCATGCAATAAAGATTTTTACTGTATGGAGGAAATCAATTGAGTGTTTCTTTCTGTACCTTTTGACTGAAAACTTTTTTCTGAGAAGATAGACCATAAAAAAGTTCTTATTAAATATAAATATAAAACATTTAAATGTTCATATTTTTTAAATGTTATTTTTACAAAAATTTTTACTGCTTAACACAAGTTCACTATATATGTGGTGGTTGCAAATTTTATTAATTATTTTTATATAATTATTCATCCATTTATTTATTTGTATGTGATGTGGAAGCAGGGTGCTTGTTTCTCCTTGAGTGCTCATCAGGCTTTCCCACACATGATATACCGTGTTTTCAAAGCGTGAACTGAAATAAACCATTCTCTCTTAGATTGCTTCTTGTCATATACTTGATTTGTTCTCTGAAATGAGAAGGGTAACTAATACACATACATGAATATACTTATAAGACAAGTTAATATAAATGTATGATTTCATTTTACATCAGGTTTCAGAAGTAGTAAATGGTAAATCTGTTTTCATTTTACATTACTGATTTGTGGTTAACAAACCCTCTGTTGTGCTCTCTTCGGCAGCACATATACCAAAATTGGAACAATACAGAGAAGATTAGCATGGCCCCTGCACTGGGATGATATGCAAATTCGTGAAGTATTCAACATTTTTTCAAAAAAAACTTCTGCTATCTGTATCAGTTAATCACCTTATATGTAGATACTAAAAGTGATAATTTCTGTTATTTTCATATTGTTTTCTTATTTTTAGAAGATCACTTGAACTGTTTTCTAAGATCTCTCAATTCAAATGTCACCCAAGAATACCAAGTGACCTGTGTTAAGAATACAGAATGAATATTTTAAGTTTGTTATTTTGTTTATAAAGAATATGTTGCTCTAACTATTTGAACAACACTATATTTATAACCTAAACTTGAGAAAAAGATTTGTAGGGAATAAGAACCTCATTGTAATACTCTCTAATAGTTTTATAGTTTACATTAGTCTATTGTTAACATTATAACATGTTACTATATGGTATAGATTTTGTTTTATCTGAAGGTATTTTCAGAAGAATGCTTTGTAAATTAAAATATAGAAAAGAACAAAGTTCTTTTCTGAAATTACTGGGGAAGTTTTCTGATTGGTTTGATATAGATTTTGGAGTCCTCAGATATGGAAAAAGAGATTACCTTCCCCATGTTGTCTGATACCACGATGTCTACAAGGTTACAGGATATATAGAATAGAGTATAATTGGTGCACCAAGCCTCATCACCTAGATTTAAACAAAGTAATTAAGAAGTAAGAGGATTTGTTATTTTAAGTAAGCTATTGTATTTGAAAAAGTGGAAGATGGGAGAAAATATTGGACATAGCTCCTTAGTTCAGGGACATGTAACAAGATACATAAGATATACTTCAATTAACAGAGTGCAAATTGTATTTCCAAATTCGTGGTAGACAATGAGAGCTACACTCAGAGAGCAAAGAGGTCACTACAAGTGAAGCAAATCATATGAGGAAAACCTTATGTAGGAGAAAAAGTTTCATTATTGGTCTAGAAAAGTAGATGGAGCCCCTGGAAGAAAAAGGAAAGAAAGTTAAATAGAACAGTTGGATCAGAGCCAAGTATGGAAATAGCAAGATTCTTAAGCACAGGAGGAGTTTCCTATGCCTTCCTCCACTACATGAAATCAGAGTACTACTTTTGAGTCTTCAGGAGGACTTTGCTTACTTGTTTGTTTGCTTGTCTCAAGAACCCAGACAGTAGACTAAAATAAAAACAAAACAAGATTAGAACTTGATAAATAAAAAAGTTATAAAAAAATAAAGTGACAATTTTTCTCTAAACGCTGAAATTTTAAAGACAGTGTCCAGGATATTAGAGGCAGCAATTTCAGATTAAAAACAAGAAAAGCACCTCCTTAAAGATTGACCAATAAAAGGCCCTGTAAGTAGTTTGCTTAAAATGAACAATTCTAAAATTATAAAAATACAATTTTATCTTTTATAAACTAAGCATTTCTATTTCCCATTACTGCATGTTCTATTTTATAAATGGCTTTCAAGGTCTTTTCTTTAACATAAATGAATAATGCATGAATTTAGTGTATAAAAGATTTTTTTTGCCCATGCTGTGAAGATACTAAACATCCAAAGGATTTTAAAATGTAATTTTGTGAAAAATATAAAAAATGTTTTTGAGTGTTTAAGATTGATGTCAAAAAATTACTTATTTTATTACTAATTTATACCTTTTCTTCTGAGTTTCTGAGGGCAATACTTTTTAATTGTAGTTTTCTTCTATTTTTAAAAATTACAATAAAATTGCATCATTATTTATCCTTTCTTTTTCCTTCCTCATCTTAAGCCATCCATATACAATTGTTTGGTCTCTTTCAAATTCATAGCCTCCTTTTTATCAGTCATTGTTTTTACATGCATATGTAAAATGCATATGTATGTACACATATGTTCCTAAATATAACCTTATTAGTCTTCATAACATAACTGTTTTGTATGTTTTCAGTGTTGACCATTTAGTGTTAGATAACAAATGGGTATACTCTCCCTGATAAAGATGTTTCCCAGCATTTCTTAGTTCTTATATTTCTTTTTTTAATTTATTTATTAAAAATTTCCACCTCCTCCCCGCTTTCCTTTTCCCTCCCTCTCCCCACCTACCCCTCCCTCTCTAGTCCTAAGAGCAGTCAGGGTTCCCTGCCCCGTGGGAAGTCCAAGGTCCTCCCCCTCCATCCAGGTCTATAAAGGTGTACATCCAAACAAACCAGGCTCCCACAAAGTCAGTCCTTGCAGTAGAATCAAAACCCAGTGCCTTTGTCCTTGTCTTCTCAGTCAGCCATCATTACCAGCCACGTTCAGAGTGTCCATTTTGATCACATGCTCCATCACTCCCAGGCCAGCTGGCCTTGGTGAGCTCCCATGAGATCAGTCCCACTGTCTCAGTGGGTGGACGCACCCCTCATGGTCTTGACTTCCTTGCTCATGTTCTCCCTCCTTCTGCTCCTCATTTGGACCTTGGGAGCTAAGTCCAGTGTTCCAATGTGGTTCTCTGTCTCTATCTCCATCCATCATCAGATGACGGTTCTATGGTGATATGCAAGATATTCATCAGTGTGTCTATGGGACAAGGCCAGTTCAGGCACCCTCTCCTCTGCTGCCCAAGGAAGAATCTGGGAACCTCTCCTTGGACCTGGGAACCCCAATGGGGTTAGCATAGTCAGAGGAGATGAACCTCCTTTTTTTACTTTTATACCAGTGTGGGATTCAGAAATGGAACTTCTGATCTGGATTGGACCTTGTTAATGAGCTCCATATTTGGTTCTTCCCTCTCATGAGCAGCTCCAGCTCTGGCCACAGGATCAGGGCAGCTTGCTGGCCAGGGACCTAGCAGACAAAAGGACTTGCTTCTCATCTCCATTTCTTTTTTTTTATGAGAAAGTAATTTTATTAAATTATAAAAGTTTCCATATCTGCCCCTCCTCCCAACACCCTCCCACTCCCTCCACTCCCTCTCCTCCTCCCTCTCCATCCCTAAGAGCAGTCAAGGTTTCCTGCCCTGTGGGAAGTTCAAGTTCCTCCCTCCTCCCTCCAGGTCCAGGAAGGTGAGTATCCAAACAGACTGGATCCCCAAAATACAGTATATGAAGAGGAAACAAGTCCCAGTATCAATGTCAATGGCTTTTCAGAAAGACTCCGGGCCAGCCACATTCAGAGAATCCGGCCACATTCAGAGAATCTGGTTGGATCACGTCCTCGTTCAGTCCCAGTCCAACTGGCCTTGGTGAATTCTCATTAGATCAGTCCCCTTGTATCAGTGGGTGATCGCACCCCTCGCAGTCCTGATTTACTTTTTCATTTTCTTCCTCCTTCTGCTCCTCGTTTGGACCTTGAGGGGCTCAGTCCGGTGCTCCAATGTGGGTCTCCATCTGTATCGCCATCCATCGTTGGATGTAGGTTCCCTCTGCTCTTGCCTTCTTTGCTCACGTTCTCTTTCCTTCTGCTTCTCGTTTGGGCCTAGGGAGTTAAGTCCAGTGTTCCAATGTGGGTCTCTGTCTCTATCTCCATCCATCGCCAGAAGAAGGTCCTATGGTGATAAGCAAAATATTCATCAGTATGGTTATGGGCCAAGGCCGGTTCAGGCACCCTCTTCTCTGTCCAGAGAACAATCTGGGGATCTCTCCTTCGACCTGGGATCCCATTTATAGTCAAGTCTCTTGTAAACCTTAAAATGACTCCCTTAGTTGAAATATATTCTTCCCTGATCCCATATCCATCCTTCCTCCCTCCCCCCCATCCCAGTCCACCGAGCTTTCCCATTCCTCCCCTACTCCCTTCTCTCTAACCCTCTCCCCTTCCAACAACCCTCCCACCCCCCATGCACCCGAGGTTACCTGGGACTCTTGTCTATTTCCAATCTCCAGGAGGATAGCTACATGATTTTCATCAGGTTCACCTTCTTATTTAGCTTCTGTAGGATCACGAATAATAGGCTCAAAGACCTTTAATTATGGTTAGAATCCACTTATGAGTGAATACATACCATATTCCTCTTTTTGGGTCTGGCTTACCTCACTCAGTAAAGCGTTTTCTATTTCCATCCATTTGCATGCAAAATTCAAGATGTCATTGTTTTTTATCGCTGAGTAAAACTCTAATGTGCATATGTTCCACACCTTTTTTAACCATTCTTCTATTGAGGGGCACCTAGGTTGTTTCCAGGTTCTGGCTATTACAAATAGTGCTGCTATGAACATAGTTGAACAAATGCTTTTGTAGTATGTTAGGGCATCACTTGGGCATATTCCCAAGAGTGGAATTGCTGGGTCCTGAGGGAGGTTGACTCCCAGTTTCCTGAGAAACTGCAACACTGATTTCCACAGTGGCTGCACAAGTTTGCATTCCCACCAACAATGGATGAGTGTTCCCTCATTCCACATCCTCTCCAGCATAGGCTATCATTGGTGTTTTTGAGTTTGGCTATTCTGACAGGTGTAAGATGATATCTCAAAGTAGTTTTGATTCGCATTTCCCTGATTGCTAAGGAGGTTGAGCATGAACTTAAGTGCCTTTTGGCCATTTGAAGTTCATCTGTTGTGAATTCTCTGTTCAGTTCAGTACCCCATTTTTTAATTGGATTAATTAGAGTTTTAGTGTCTAGTTTCTTGAGTTCTTTGTATATTTTGGAGATTAGACCTTTGTCTGATGAGGGGTTGGTGAAGATCTTCTCCCAGTCCGAAGGTAGCCTTTTTGTCTTACTGACAGTGTCCTTTGCTTAACAGAAGCTTCTCAGTTTCAGTAGGTCCCATTTATTCATTGATTCTCTTATTGTCTGCGCACTCGATCATAATGGATAATTTTTCTAATGTATTCTTGGATTCGGTTTGCCAGTATTTTATTGAGTATTTTTGCGTCAATGTTGGATTGAGACTTCCTCCTGATGAATTGTTCCTGTTATGAACAATCTCCATTCTCCATCTCTTCTGATTGATTTTAGTTTGAAGTCAATTTTGTTGGAGATTAGAATGGCCACACCTGCTTGTTTCTTAGGTCCGTTTGCTTGAAAAACCTTTTCCCAACCCTTTACTCTGAGTAGATGTCTGTCTTTGTGGTTGAGGTGTGTTTCTTGTAAACAGCAGAATGTTT